TTCATGCCTGGTTCTCTTTGGAGTATGTTCTTATTCTTATATACCAAAGGTAAAGAAGCCTAAGCACCAATCTTATATCCTAGTGCCAGTAGCTTGTGTTGTCATTTTGTTCAGTGAATAGCTATAATGTGGTTATTATATATTCAGCAATTTCCTAGATCCTGGAGAGTATAATATAAAAGTGCACATGATCTCTGCCCTTGAGACAGTAACATACTTTTGAGGGAGGAATCAAAAACTTTGAGAGTAATGTATTTCATACTCAGTAAGAACTACTGTAAATACATCCAAAATTCAAAGAAGAGAAAAGTCATTGTGATAGGGTTTAGTCACTGAGCATGCTTCATAAAAGGACTTGATTTTGAACTAGGAAGGGAATTGTTAAGTGCCACAAATCTACTCATACATTCCCAACTTATATTTACAGCTACCTAATTATCCATCATTTAATGGGGATTTTTATTGTGTCAAGACATTTCATGTATATTATTTGATGTGATTTTTATAACCTGATGAGGTAGGTAATACTGTCCTCATTTTTCTATTGAGTCTTAGAGATTAAAGTTACCTAAAATTGTATTACTTATAAGTAGCAGAGCAGAAACTCAGACTCTGAGCTTTTGTCTCCAGGGCCAGCTTCTTACTTATAACTACTGCTTCTCATCCACACTTAAAAGGGGAACGTAAGGGTCAGAGAGACTGGGATATTTATGCAAATTCACACAGCTATTAATGGCAGAATGGAAAGTTTAGAACCCAGGTCTCTAAAGTATTAGACTTTTTAAAAGCATGTGAAGCTGCTGGTTTTTTACCTTAAAAAAATTTAAAAACAGCAATTTTATATGATTCTGTTTTGTACTTGACCTGTATACCACACTGCATTATCCTTGAGTCAGAATATGGGTTCATCATTAAAAACTGGAAAGGAAATTGAGGGCATAAGAAATTGTAAGAGGGAAGAGAATCTGGATGTGTAAGGTAAAACTGCTGATGGAGAATCATGAATGCCAGGGAGAGAATTCAGATCAATAACAATCAATCAATGAACACTTTATTTACCTGCAGTGCACTGTTAGGCACTCCTTATCCTCAGATACAGGGCCTGGCTTTGTGCACAAAGAACCAGAGAAGTCTCCAGAATGACCACATAATGTTGAAGGGGACCTGAGCTGGGCCTTACAGGATGGGGAGGGATTAGCAAGGAGAAGACATGAACAGAATGAGCAGTCTGATGTGGAGTTAAAAATCGGTTGCAGCATAGAAAAGCTTTTTGGAATTTCAGTAGGTACCCAAGGTAAAAGTAGCACTTCATCAGTTTTCTTCAAAATTATTTTACGATTTTATTTCTGAAATAATTATAAAAGTATCATTCACTAATTAGCCTCCTGAATCCATTGTGGATTTTCAAGACTTTGAGCACTGACATCACATCCTTTGTGGTCACATTTTGATCTTTGTGCTCACACTTTGTCCTCACATTTTTAACCCAGCCCTGTAACCAACCCTTTCCAGATAAAGAGAAGTTGAAGCAGACAGCATAATTAGAGCTCATATCTGCTGGGTTCTACTCAAGGGTATTTTGTTTTTGTTTTTCTTTTCTTTTTTAGAGACAGGATTTCTCTCTGTTACCCAGGCTGGAGTGCATTGGCGGGATCATAGCTCACTACAGCATCAAAATCCTGAGCTCAGGTGATCCTTCTACTTCCGCACCTAAGTAGCTAGGACTACAGGTGTGCACCACCATGCCTGGCATGTGTTTAGATAGATAGATAGATAGATAGATAGATAGATAGATAGATAGATAGATAGATAGATAGATAGATAGATAGATAGGTGGGTGGGTGGATGGGTAGATAGATAGATAGATAGATAGATAGATAGATAGATAGATAGATAGATAGATAGATAGGTGGGTGGGTGGGTGGATAGGTAGATAGATAGAAAAAATTTTTTTTTTTTGAGAGACAAGGTTTCACTATGTCTCACTCTGTTGCCCAGGCTGGTCTCAAACTTCTGGCCTCAAGTGATCCTCCCATCTTAGCCTCTCAAAAGTGCTGGAATTGCAGGCATGAGCCACTGTGCCCAGCCCTTCAAGGATACTTTTGTGTTTTCTGTCATTTTACTTGAGAAAGTTGAATTTGAGTGTTTCTGTGGTTACATGTTGAAAATAGATAAGATTCTCTGAATTTTTTTTAATGTTTCATTTTCTATCCATGTTCTCTTTTTGAGTCTTCTTGTTCTCTTTTGAGTTTGGTATTCAATAACACTTCGAGGAAAGGGTACTTTTTAAAAAAATCCTCGTGAAATCCATTTTAGTTTCTATATCCTTCAAGAGTCCTTAATATATTAGATATTCATACATAGACAAGAATATGTGCAATTTGTAAGTTATGAAACTTATTAATGAAATAAATACTCATCAACCCACCACCCAGTTTAAGACATAGAACCCTAGCATTCCCAGTAAGGATCCCTGTTCGTTCAGCACCTGTGGCTTGCTTGTCATCTCCCCACCATCCCAGCATCATGTTCTGTCATGTGTCACGTGTCCAGACTTCATAAATACCTTTTATCTGGTTAAGAAATTCTCTTAAATGAAATATTCCTAATGTCAAGTGAGTGACCTTTGCATTTGTTGGATAAACTCAACTTTTTAAGTGATTATTGTTTTTTATACTGCCAAATTCTATTTATTAATATCATTTTTAGAAATTTTGATTTTTGCATCTATTTTCATAAGGTTGGCTAGTAATTTCTCTTTCTCAAACTGTCCTTGATTAGGCTTTATTGTTTTCACAAAATGAGTCAGGAGGTATTGGGTTTTTCCCCCCTTTTTCTAAATAATCTTCTTAAGACTGGAAAAAATTGTTTCTTGAATGTTTGATAGAGCTACTCATAAAACCCTCTGGGCTTGGTGTACAGACATGGTAATTCATATGTTTTTTTAATATTTGTCCATTTAATTTAGGATGTTTTTCTTTTTTAATTTACTGGACACAAACTTTGTATAGTATTGTCTCTGTTTTTAAAATATTTTACTATTCTTCATGTTGAGAGGCTCATAAGCTTAATTCTTTTTCTAGCTATATAAGTTAGATCCCCAGCTTAATGTTTTTTGAGGGTTGCTTTATAAAAGTTTAGTACATGTTCATTTTTCATAAATTTTCATGTGTATTTGAAAAGAATTTGTGTTCTTAATTTGCTAAGCAGAGAGTCAAGCTTATTTTTATGGAATTCAAGTTTTAACTGTGCATGTGTTTTGTTTTATTTTTTAGTCTGATTTTATATATCATTTACAGAGGAGTATTAAAGTATCTCACTATGAGGGTGAAAGTTTCCATTTTCCTTACAGTGTTTTTGCTTTAACTACTTGTATGTACAGGTCATAAGCTTTGAATGACTATATTCTGCATTGAACCACTTATTATTTTATCTGTTTCTTTTTTTTTTGGCCCTAAAAATACATTTTTTCTGACATTAACATAGATGTGGTATTTTGGTTGCTTTTTGCCTAGTTATCTTTCTTAATCTTTTAACTTTCTGTCTTCTCTGTCTCTGTGAATTACAGATATCTCTTACAAACAGCATTTAATTCAGCCTGACGATCTGATTTTTTTTTCTAGATCCTACCTGGAGAGTTTAATCTATTTATATTTATTGTGATTTCTAATAAGTTTGCTCCTCTTTATTTTATGTCTTCTCTTTCTTTTTTTCTTGTCTTCTGTTGAACTGAATAAATTTATTTCTCACTTTATTATTTTTCTTTCTGGTTTGTGAGTTAGAGATTACTAACTTTAGTAAATGCCTTTGACATTTTAGCATTTAGGCCCAACCTAATTAATATCTGTCCCTTCATCTTGAACAATACAAGGTTTTTACAATCAGTGCTTATGCTATTGTTATTCAGAATTTACGTGCCTTCTTAAGTGTTTGGTAGTTCTATAAATTTGTCACTGTTTCTATTGCTGAATATTTGAAGTGTATAGATTTATCCTCTTGTTTACCAGTATTCCTGATTACATCTTGGCCCTTCTGTCAAGGAAGAAAATTTTCATTTTCCGAAAATGTGTGCTTGAGAAATTCTTATGATAAGAGTTTGTGGATGGTAAACTCAGTTCTTGCTCATCTGAGAATGTTATTTTGACCTCATCCTTCACATTTTTGTTGGCTAAGCAGTTCTAGGTTGGAAGTTATTTTCTTTTAGTTCTTTGACAGTATTATACTTTCTTCTGGCTTCCCTTATTGCTGTTTAGAGTCTAACTGATATTCCTTTGTGGGTAATCTGTCTTTTCCTTTTGGCTGCTTTTTTTTATCTGTTAGAATGTGACGATATATGTTTCATGTTGAACTCAGTATGTAAGTTTTCTCTTATATTTTATGCTTGTGTTTGAGATTTGTGTCTTCCATCAAGTCTGAAAATTTTACGTGAATTCAGAGTGACTACATTTTCTTCCCTCTACCCAGAGCCACTACCAAGCAGACAAATTTATTTATTACTGTTTGGTTTGGGGGGATATTTTTTTTTTCTCATTCACCTCTTCCCTGAGAGTGGAAGCCTTTGCTAGATTTTAGCTTTAAGCTGAGGTTTCTCCAGTCTTATGCCCGTCCTACAAAGACCCAGAGCTTTATGGTCTGTTCCTCTGAGTGTAGCAGACAGACCAAAACAAAAGCTCTAGGCCATTGGTGTTCAGTTGAAATCCCCAGGGCTTTCAGCTTAAACAAAACGAGTCTCTTGATCTTGTTTTATTTCTGGTCTCAGAATATTATTCTTAGTTTGTTGCAAGCTCATCAGTTTTTAAGAGGTAGCATGTGAGTGCAAGTAAATTTTTACATATATAATATTCTTAGAGGGTTTATTTTGAGTTTTTTTGCAAGAGTTTTTGAGGGGATCTCTACTAATAGAAATAGAGATCTGTTCTTTAACTTTAATGGAAATGTTCTCTTACCATTTTTTTAAATCAAAGATCACATTTTGTTTCTCCTGTCACTTCTTCCTACAGGTGAGCAGTAGGTCATCTAGTCCCAGTGTGAGAATGATCACTACCTCAGGACCAACCTCAGAAAAGCCAACTCGAAGTCATCCATGGACTCCTGATGATTCCACAGGTGACCAGTCTTTTTCCTCATTATAATTATGAAATGTAATTCATCATGTTTATGTTCACTTAGTCATGTCATTGCTATAACTGTTATTGAGGCAGGCATTATACAGTGGCTTCGATTTTCATATTAATAAAATCAACTGTAGCAATTTTAAATATCGTTTTGAGTACTGTGACAGAGACTGCCTTTTCCTCTGTATTATTGTTCCCAGATACTAAGTATGTATTTTGAAGATAGTTTGAGTTTTTTTCCAGTTTGGAAGCATTTTGTATTCTTGATCATTCATTCTGTGATTTTCCTATTATGATCCATTCCACAGGATGATAGTAGTAAAGTTGTTATATTTAAATAACTAAAATCGGCAGAATGGTTAAAATCATCATCAGTATCCTCATCTCAGTCTTTTGTTCTAAGGACACACAATATCATGTACCTGAAGGAGAAAAATAAATTTCTGACCTTTGACCTTTTAAATCATTTTTAGCTAATAAAAGTTTAGTTATATAAATATTCTGTTAAGTACAGCTTAAAAAAACCTGTTAAGAGTTATTAAAACTTCTCAGCATGAGTAACTAACTGGTCGTGCTATTAGTTTAAAGTCTTCCTGTCTGAAGGTAGTGATGGAATGGTTTTGTTATAAGCAGACCAAATATGGTATTGTAGTAGAATTTACCTTTTCCTAACATTAAGATAATACCTTGATAAATACTCATAAGTAGACTTACATGAAAATTTTTATTTATAGTTTATTAAGTCAGAGAGGGAAAGATGATCTCTTAGACCATGGAATATTAAAGCATTTGGAATTTTATATAAGTCAACTGTGTTATTAATAGTGGCAATTAAAATTAAAAAGTCAGCTTTCTGTCTTTACAAAACTGAAGTATGAATCAAGTATTTATAGTCATTTGGTGAGATTTAGTCAAGTTTAAAATTTAATTTAAAAAATTAACTGGGTGTCTTTTTCTGTGTCATGTAAGTTAGAACTATGTTTAGCCAGGAGTGTACTCTCTAGTTTTAGTAAGTTTAAATTTAGTGGTGGCAAAAACTCCTGAGTTTCATCCCTAACACAGCCCAACCTAGGATTATCCAACCCAGGGCATTCACCACTGCTCAGCACAGTGCAGAATTCATCACAGACATGCTCCTCCCCAGTGGTAGACAGGGGAAAGCTCTTGCAGATTTTGTCATTCATGTTCAGGTGATACCAGCTCTTTTTGGTTCCTAAACCGGCTGGTAGGGCAGTAAGAGAATACTCTCCCTAACATTACAGCATTTTCCTGGGTCTGGTACTCAACTTAGCAGAGCCTTCTAACCTCAGCCTAGACTAATCTATACATGCCAGTTAACAGTGTAGCACGCTGTGAATTTATGAGGGCAAAATCAAAAATTTATGAGTATCTGTCACATAACTGCTGTACTTATACTTCATGTTCACACCTACCCTTCCAACTCCTTTCTTATCTTTTTCTTTTTCAGTACCTAAAATATACCACAAAATAGGTTAGAAATAGATTAGATATTAGCTAGAAATATGTTGCAATATCAATTGAATTTTGTCTTTGTCTTGAAGTATGCTGCAAATGTGTGGTTGTCATTTTTAAATAATCTTGAATACATTTTAAAAGTTGATACTCTGGTTTAAGTTCATAATTAACTCAGCTTCACAGAATTTCTAAGAAATGTGTTGATAATCCAGCTAATAGAATAAATTCTTGGGAGCAGATAGGTAAAGCCTTTTTCTTTGAAGGCCCTCTGACCTAAGAAAAAATTAAGAGTAGAAACATAAGTTAAAACAACCTAATTAGATTTTTTTGTTGTTTAAAAAAAAGAGAGGTTTCTGTGTATTTTCTGAGAAAACTAAAGAGCACAATTTAGTCATAGCAGATAATGAGTGCTCTATAGTTTTTATTTATAATATAATGTGTATAAAAGGAACACATACATACCGAGAAGATCTAGCGAGAAAGATATCTTGACCCAGTAGAGAGAGCCACAGAGGGAAAAACGCACTGAAAAGTTTCTCCTATGCTTAGTACTTGCAAAAATAGATGTATAAGACATGGCACAGGCCTAGCAATTTAGTTAGAGTCATGATACTGACACATTAAAAATAAATTCATCATGCTATGTGATAAACTACTAAATTTACAGTACAAAGCTGAGTGTTTTAATAGTTAAGAGAAAGCTCAATTAAACAAGACCTGGCATGGTCTATGACTTTTGCATGAAACGGTGGGACTTTTTCTCCAGTCATAAAGGAGAAAGGAGAAGGCAGCATTCCACTGACAGGAATGTATAGTCAAAGAGTGTGAGATGGTAACAAGTGTTGTGCTCGGGGCGACCAGAAAAGAGAGTATGACTAATTTAAACCAGTGTGAGTCTTGGCGTTCAGGAAAAGAGGTTAGATCTTATTAGCCATTACAACATTAATAAAACAAACTTTCATTAAGCAACCTTAATATCTCATGACCAGTTACTGTTATTAGAAACTAGAAACTCAATCTCAATTTAGATATAGGTGAAAAAGTGAAACTCTGCTTCTTGGTTTTAGAGAAAAGATGAAATTCAGTGAAGGAACTTAAGTCCTTCACCATGGAGAAGCTGTAATTATTTGAATAGCCCACTCCTTGAACTTTTTTCCTACTACCAGAATACCACAAAGCATTGATGTATTATCCTGAATTCTAAAATACATATCAGATACAGGGTACTCATATAAAGTATCAGTGATTTAAGAAATACTAAAAGGAATGCAAATGTTAAATTGAGGAAACTTCTTCAAGACACATAATTTGTCCTAAGTCAAAAGGAAATAATTTTTAATCATTTTTAGTTCTGGGAAAGCAATGCTTATGTGGGAGCATAGTTTGAAACTACTTTTGTGGATGGGGGAAGGAGTTGGTCAGAGAAACAAGTATATTTCTTACTTTAACCACTTCAAAAAAACATTTATGTTAGAATAGTAATTACTTTTCTTAGATATGATTTTAGGGTAAATACCTTAAAGCTTTATTGTTTTTCTTTCTCAGTTACACTTTAATAAACATCACTTTTTCCATCTAAAATGCATCCTTGACTATTTTAAATTGCCTTTTCTTCTTCATTTTCCACCTAGTATCAATAACAATAATAATAACAGCCACCAACATGTGTTAAGTGCTTAGTATACACCAGCATTGGATGGGGTTCTTTGCATGCATCATCTCATTTGTTCTGATTGAGCTCATTAGATTTTGGATTTACCTGCAAACTCATACTCAGTGGCTTTAAAAAGAAAAAAACAAGCCTAGACTATCAGTCAGCAATAAAGTAGGTTATGGAAGCATCAAATCATCTTAGATTTTTTTATCTAGATTGAGAGCAATGCCTCTGTTGTCATCGTTGCCTAGCCTTTGTCCTTCCCATTCTTTCAGGGAGTCACTTGTCAGAAAAGGGCCCAACAGATCACTTGTTTAACTCGTTTCTTCTCTGCTAACAGTGGGAAAGCAGCTACTTTTGAAATATAAAAGTCTGTATTACCTCACATTCTGCTTACTTCTGGAACTGTTCTACATAAACATGAATGTTGGGAAGAGACTGTCCCATGCATTTCAGTCGAGTTGCGTGACAATTTTTCCTTTTTTTGAAATGAAACAAAAGCTTTCTGTTCAAATAATTTGATTAAACTAGCTGGTTGTTTGAAGTAATCAATTTAACTGTTTTTGGCGTGACATTGAGCCTTTTTTGTTTCCATACTTCGTATTTGTAATATACTCTTATCAATAACATCTCTCATTTTCTGCAGAGATTCTCATCGGGAGGGGTGAGATGGCTGGGGAGGGGCGTCCACATTAGACTCTATATAAGTCAAAAATGATCCACTGAAAGAGAATATGTCTCTTTCTTTCTCCCTTTCCCTGTTAAGGAACACTTGTGTTAACAGAGTTGATTTAGCCTTATGTAAAATAAACTTAGCATGATAAAGAGATGTGGGGTTTGTAGACGGGTCACTTAAGACTGAATTTAAAATGTAAAAGTCCCATAACAACTGATTTTGTTTTTAATTAAACAAGGACTTATAAGCTTTAATGTGTCATGTCTGTTCAGTTTATAGCCACCTTAAATTATAGATATGAGAATATGATTGCATTCTAATTATATGATAATTAGGTGTCTTCTTTGTACCTTTAGAATTCAGAAATAGACTTTTCCATAGCTAATAGTAATTACTTTTCTGTTACATGTTATTTACTGTAGAGGGAAAAAGCATCTCATGCTTACTTTCTTGCTGCTTGTTTATAATTAATTATGACAGACAATAAATAAAATACATGCTTGAATTCCAGATACCAATGGATCAGATAACTCTATCCCAATGGCTTATCTTACACTGGATCACCAACTACAGGTAAATGAGTATTTTTTTCAGTGAGAGTTCACTTTTTTCTTCTTGGAGAGTTTATCTTTGAAACTAACAGTTGTGTTCCTTTCCATCATTGTATATCCATTTATTTATACTTTTAGTCAGTCTCCCTGTGTTTTTAAAATCAAATGAAAATGATCAATTCTTTTGGTTAAATTAATCAAATTTTAAATTGGCAGAATCATGTTCTTATCCTGACAGTTATTTTAAAATACTCCCTGCATTCCCCTTCAAGACTATGAAACATAGCATTTTCATGCTTTAATTTTAGTGCATTAAAATATAAAACTCATGTAAGCTCATTTCTATTTCATACATCTTGTGATACATTCTCAGGTTCATAGTGACTGAAAATGTAAATAATGCACTTCATTGTCTCCTCCTAAGTATGAAGGCTGTAAACGTCTTTTGGTATAATACAGTTTGGCAACCTGAAATGTCATCCCAGAAGCTACAAGTACTCTGGTAGTGATTCTCTGTAACAGCAAAAGTGTTAAAACAGCAAGAGGAAATTTAAGTTCTGAGTTAACTCTAACAAAAGGACACTGAGATTTTTCTAGGGTTAGGGTTTAACACTTATTTTTAAAAGATCATTGCTTCAGTGCTATAAAAATATATCACAGCCTCTGTCTTAACCCTCAGCTAGATATTGAAATTTGATTTAATTATGTTTTAACATTCCTGATTATTTTCAGCCTCTAGCACCGTGCCCAAACTCCAAAGAATCTATGGCAGTGTTTGAACAGCATTGTAAAATGGCACAAGAATATATGAAAGTTCAAACAGAAATTGCATTGTTATTACAGAGAAAGTAAGTTGTCTTTTATGAATACAAATAAAAACACATTAGCATTTTGAATTTAAAATATGTTAAGATGCAGTATTGTTTGAAGACACAAAAGCATCATAGAGTTTTTAGAATTGGTCATTAAACATAGTTACAACTTGGATATTCTATGCTCATGTTTTTTAAGCACCTTTTTACTATTTTTTATGTAAAATGCAACCCTTTTGACTGTAGCATATTAGTCCTAAGGAAAATAAACTGGTGCTATTCCCCTTGTGTTTTATGTTCTCAGAGTTTGAAGTTAAAGCTGTTTCGATTTATAGTTATAAAGATTTATTGTGTCCTTGTACATAAGTGAAATGATTTGATTTACTAAAATTCTGTTGTGCCTTAGAAACACTTTTGCAGGTACATTCTTTTGAGGCATGTTTAGGAGTGTAGGATGACTTATTAGATGACTTAATTTCATAACTGAATGCTTTACTGGATATGTGTTTTTCTGAGAGTCGTAGAATCTTCCTTCTTCCCTTTTTAACGAAATCTAGTCCGATTTCCATACTACTGTGTTTACTGTTCAAACGTACACACACACACACACACACACACACGTACATACACTTAAACATGGCCCTCATGAAATTTTATACTTATGAAGCTGATTTATGGATGGTAACTAAAATGAAGTGTTACAGGAAAAAAAGCATGGCAACCTTATGTATGCATGGTAACAGGATCCCATCTATTAACTTTAATCTAAATACATGAAAATTCTTTTCTGAAGTAATTTGTGAAAAGTTTTCTGTTGGTACCTTTAAAAAAAATGAGGGAAAAGAGTTGTATTACATTTTACTGATATATTGATTTAAATGCAATCAACTTGGTACCTTAAAAGTAAGCCTACATAGGAAATTAAATTATACAGTCTGAAAATCTTAGAAGTAATCTTGGCACTTTATGTTGAAAAAAACCTCTATATTTCTTATTTTCCATGTTTAACCTACACTGTTGTCATAGCTTCATCATTTGAGAGAATTGTTCTATGCTGGGAAAAACAAATAGTGGATGAAGGGGTTCCCTTTGAAAGCTTTGACAGTTTTAATCAATTTTAAATACTTTAAATGACAAATATTATTAGGAAATGATTTTGTTTGAATTTTTTTTGTTAATCCTTCATTTATATCCAGTAACCTCACTTTAGGAGATACTTAATATTCCCCAAATAAAAGGGACTTAAAGATGTTTATCAGACTATAAGAGACTCTGAGAGTCTTTCCAGAAAATGTTTGCAAACATAAGTGGTTTAAGTGGTACTTTGTGTTTTTCTCACTGTTTTTAAAATAGAAATGAGCTTTAAGTTGGATAAAATCTATTTTAATTAGCTTGTGAATGTTCTATTAGCTACCACTCCGACTATAGTTAAATAGGATTGTGACTTCAGAATATGAATATGGTTATAAAAGTAGGATGTGAGTAATTAAAACTTTATTTTCCGGTAGCCAGAAAGAGCCTTTCCAAGCCTTTTTCTTTCTTCCTACAAAAAAAGAATACCAAATGAAATTTTCTAGAATTTGTATTTTGCCCTTTTACCTGCTTTACTAATTGCCTATGTACATTTACTTACTAAAAGGATTCAGTTATGGTTATACCAGAAGAGTGGGTGATAGTTTTCATTCCAGCCCACGATTATATTTGAGTAGTACCCCTAAGGTGCAAAATGATAGACCCAGAATAAAGGTTCTCAATAACTGAGCATTCATCATCAACCAGTAAGCTATGAATTTTCCATCATGTATAATATATGGTATTTGTTTTTAGGCAAGAACTAGTTGCAGAACTGGACCAGGATGAAAAGGACCAGCAAAATACATCTCGGCTGGTACAGGAACATAAAAAGCTTTTAGATGAAAACAAAAGCCTTTCTACTTACTACCAGCAATGCAAAAAACAACTAGAGGTCATCAGAAGTCAGCAGCAAAAACGACAAGGCACTTCATGATTCTCTGGGACCGTTACATTTTAAAATATGCAAAGAAAGACTTTTTTTTTAAGGAAAGAAAAACGCTTATATTGACAATTCATGAGTGTTAGCTTTTTGGCGTGTTCTGAATGCCGACTGCCTATATTTGCTGCATTTGTTTCATTGTTTGTTTTCCTTTTCTCACGGTGGACATGCAGTTTTACTCTCATTGCATAACATGGTGGCATCTGTGACTTGAATAAGCAGCAGTTCCCAGTTTCAAACCAGATGCAATGAACTGTGGCCATATATGCATGCTCATTGTATGAAGGCTAACCTAACAACAGGGGGTATCAAACTAGCTGCTAAATGCAAACATCATCCTTTTTTCCATGTTGGAGGTGGAACCTCAAGAATGATTTTATTCTTGTATCTCATCTCAAATTACTAATAATTTTTTCCCAAAAGATGGTATATACCACGTTAAAGACAGGGTATTATAAGTCTAGAGTAATTGGTGGTACCTTACAATAATATAGAACCTTTAGGAATAAGGTGAGGATTTTGATGCCAGCATCCTTAGATCAGTACTGAACTTAATTCCATCTATAAAATATTTGAAGGTAAGTGGGGGCTGCTGTATTCAATGAAGCAATTTACCAGATTTCATTAGACTAAAATTTAATCATGATACCTTGAACAAAATGAAACTCTTTTTTTTAAAACAGGAGTCAAGATTTTTAATTCTATGGTTGTGTATATGTGTGTTGAAACTGTAAAGCTTTTATGACTAATATTAATATTTCAAATGAAATTAAAATGCAAAAGAAAAGAAATTCAGCTTAAATGATCATTTCTTCCTATAATGATGATTGGATTATTTTATCATGTATTTGAAAAAGCTGAAGAGAAATAATGGAAAGTAGAAATAATTGCTCAGGCTAAAAGGAATGGGCTTAGATTTCTTTTTATGATACCAAATGAGGAATAAACCAGGCAAATCAGAAGTTAGTAAGGAAGTTAAAGAAGTAATAAATTCATCAAGTATCCTAATTATCCTGGATATTGGAATAATTTGTTTTTCTTTCAAGCCCATTCTAGAATGCCTGCTGCCTTTCACCACTTTTAAGAGAATTTCAACACTTATAAAGAGAGTATTTATATTGTTAACAATAATTTTGCTACCAACCTTCAAAATAACTTAAAAGTAATAATAAAACATCATTGAAGTAATGGACTATACAAGCTCTATTTTTTCAGTTGGAATTAAAATAAGTCACAGTTTGTTACCAATACAAGGTGTCTTTTCAATAAGGATGTCATCAGTCTGGTTTTTATAGCATTAATGTTTTATGAAGAGAAAATTTTAAATGAAAGCATAATTGCTGTGATTAGAATTCTATCATGATTGTATTGTAGTCTTTGCTCTATTTCAAATAATAAGTTGAAGTTATCAAAACTATTCTTAAAAATGCTGAAGCAGGTAACTTTTTTTTCCATTATTTTTTCCTCCTCCCACTGAGTTTTATAATGTATGCAAGCAATAAAGGTAAAGAACAGTTTGTACTAAACTGTGTCATTTTTAACTTCTTCCAAATCAATTATTAGAAAGCTTCTGGGAACTAAATGCTTCTATCACTTAATTTAAACAAAAGTAGGGTCATTCCTAAGTAACTTGATCACCTAGCTGAAACTGATATTGGGCTCAACATAGTAATAGTCAAATAAAATTGGCAGAGATAATAACTGTAGACTAAGGAAAAACGTAACTTATCAGTAGCATTGCTGCTCATATGTACAATCTGTCACTCCACCTAAAGGGACCTAGTAACTGTAAGAGACTTTTCTAATTATCTCAGAGCACAAGATATCCAAGTGTGAAGGCTTGACATTTCCATTAGGATTTAGCATTGGAGATTTCAGGTTTTATTTCTAGTCATTGATGTATTATTGTTATTACATGCAGTCACTTCATAAAAATATCCAGATAGGTAAATGGAAGAAAATAGTAGATTCTAGTCATGGTACCAAATCCACTCGGCTGTTGAACAGTTGCTTGTTTGTTTACAGTAAGTTCCTTGGGATTTTCAGTACTGTAGTTGTCCTGGACATTGAGTACAGTTCAGCCTTGCTCTGTATTTAAGTAGTTGTGTTGCCAGTCTTATACTTTTAAGTCCTGATGATCCCTGGAGATGGGAGAAAAAGATACCAGGGATAATTAAAATTCACAGCCCGTTTTATCCGTGTCCTCATCCATCAAACCTTCAAATAAAAAGGTTAACAAGGAGCCAAACTTTTTATTAATTCTGGCTTTATGATTTATTCGAACCCTCATTTTTTGGGTGGAAATAGCAAACAGACAAGTGAGTGGCTAAAATGCACCAGTCTAAGAAATTTGCAGACAGTCTCTGAATAAGTCCTAATTACATTTTATTCTTGCCTCCAGGGAAAGAAGGCAAAGCTTTTATCTAATCTGGAGGGAAATATTCCTCAGCAATAAAAAATCACTTTTTTGAGTTGAATAAAAATCAATTAAAAATATTTACCATATAGCAATAGCATATTGAAAAAATTTGTTAAAAGTTGTTTGCAAATGTTTGACTATTTTTGCTGAAGTATTTTAGCGTGTTGAATGTCTGCTCTCTTCAAGTTTTTTCCATGTTCCTAATTTCAGCTCCTGCCAGTAGCCAGAGATCACAGGACTTCCCTATGAAATTGTTGTTTCTTTCTATAAATGTGTGTATTTTTCAGCACCCAACTCCTCTCTTCAAATGGTAGTAAGTTCTACTTCTGTCATTCGGAACATTTTATGTAAAATGATGTAATACAGAAATTTTTGTGCATACTGTGTAATTGAAGGAAGCTTTTTAGATTTATTTTTGTTTTTAATAAAATTCAGATTGTTATTCTAAACTGGTATGTAACAGTGGTGAATGACTTATATCAGCAAATGAGCCGTGAAGTGTTCTGCTCTACACAGAAAACTAATGAAAACTGAGATGTCAGTATTCACATAATACTCAACTCTACTGTGCCGTAATCCTGATTTTTGAGAGACTAGGTAATTAGCCAGCTAACACATTATCTCCTTCAATTCAAAATTTTAGGTTAAATGGGTGTTCTTCACAATTTCAGGAGTTCTAATTTGTATGAAGTACAAATTAGTATATATTGCTAAATGATTCTTCTTGTTAGAAAACTGACTTCTTGGCGGGCACAAAATCCCAGTACTTTGGGAGGCTAAGCCTCAAGGCCAAGAGATCAAGACCAGCCTGGGCAACATAGTGAGACCCTGTCTCTACAAAAAGTACAAAAATAAAATCAGCCAGGCATGGTGGCACACCTGTAATCCTAATTACTCAGGAGGCTGAGGCGAGATGATCTCTTAAGCCTAGAAGTTCAAGGTTACCGTGAGCTGTGATCACACCACTTCACTCTAACATGGGTGACAGAATGAGATCCTGTCTCTAAAAACATAAAAAATAATAATGTTTCAAAAGAAACCTGATTTTTTGATAGTATTTATAGATTACATGAAGTATTTCATTCCTTTGTCAACCTACTGGCCCCCCAGCCTATATATACGTGCACATTCGTATAAACCCTGCCTTCATTTTAGTAAATCCTGCCTTTCATTTGCTCATTCTTTTGACAAATATTTGTTGATCATCCATTATAAGGTGAACTGCTATTACTGCTACCAACCCGCATGTCCATTGCAGTCACACAGTGGTTTTCCCATTTTACAGATTGGAAAATAGACTCCTAAAGGTTAAGACTTGTGCCTGAGTCTGCCTTTCCCTCGTCATCTGTTTTAGGCAGAATCTCATGCATGGAGAAGCTGTGACCACTGGTAGTCTGTATGTGAAAAAGAGCACAAGAAAAAAATTAAATTGAATGGCAAATGATGGAAGGGAACATGAGGTAACTTCTAACCATCAGTCACTAGGGCTTTGTGACCACTTGCTACAGAGGGCAACAAAGCCAACATGGCAACTCCCATGTGTCTTTAAATCCAAGTATGTGCTCTAAGCAATTTTGCCATACTCTGATTTTTAAATGTTCACCAAATTCTCGGGTTGTTTAACTTTCACATCCATATGTTTGACAGATGGCATATCTTCATTTTTCTTTTTGGGTCGGAGTCTCACTCTATCACCCAGAGTGGAGTACAATGACACGATCATGGCCACCATAGCCTTGACCTGCTGGGCTTAAGCAGTGCTTCCACCTCAGCCTTCCAAGTAGCTGGGACTACAGGTGCATGCCACCATGTCCGGCTAATTTTTTTCTTTATAACTGAGATGAGGTCTCACCCTGTTGCCCGGGCTTGTCTCAAACTCTTGGGCTCAGGCAGTCCTTTTGCCTCAGCCTCCCAAAGTGCTGGAATTACAGGTGTGAGCCACCATCCCAGGCCTTTTTTTTTAATTGGGGTATAATTTATATACTATAATGTGCATCCATTTAAAGTATGTCATGAATTGAGTGTTGACGTGTATGTACCTGTGAAACCACCGCAGCAATCAGGATAGAGAACTTGCCCACCATTCCCCAAAGTTCCTCACTGCTCCTTTCAGTTGAACCTTCCATTCATGCCAGGTAAGGCAATCACTGGTGTGCTTTCTAACAATATAGACTAGAATTTTGCATAAATGAAATCCTACAGTATATAATCTTTACTTTTTAAGACTTTATTTCTCCCACTTGAATCATTTATTCTAAATTCCTTTAAGAGGAATTTTAAGTTTTCTGGAGGTTTTTTCTGTTTTTAGATTGCAGTTGCTTTCTACTTGCTTAAATTCTATGAAAGACTAGGTTGATTATTACACCACAAAACAATTTGTAGGAAGGTATTTTCAGCAAGCACAATATTCTTTAAAAAATATTTGACATAGTATCTCATACAGATGCTGTCAGCTCTCCTTCCTGGTACAGTGGTGCACATAGACATAAATAGTATTGTGTCATCAGTTCATGTACTGCTCACCACCAGACCCCGTTCTCCTTTTCCATCCATAACTAGCCACTGCTCTCAGGGTCTCACACCCCCCACTCCCAGTCCCACTAACACTGAGCTTCTGTGTTTTTTAAACGACCTGCCTTTCATAATAGTTATTCCTGACAGCCTTTAAAATCGGTGACTTCTGTGTTATACGTAATGTAGGTTTTCCAAAATATATAAGGCCACTGTTCAATGAAGCTTTTCTGAGAAATGAGTGGCTTTTAATTTTATCTGAGTTTTCTAGTACTTGTAAATTTCCAAGATGTAAAATGCATTTCTTATTCTGTAATTTAATGGTCATGATGTAGAGGCCATATAGCAGCAGGATCATTGCTTTACAAGCACCAGGAGTTGAGGAGACGCTGGATATTTGTCTTCTGAAAAGCAAAGCTAATTTATAAAATGCAGTTACTTTTCAGACTTATTGCTTGTTTCTGTTGTGGGTACCTCTTCTTTCGTTATTGCAGTAATGACTGCTAATCATTGATTCACTCACTAAATTCAAATTGGAGACTAAAGAAAACTGAAATTGGGTGCAACTTTTGTGACTGAAGGATTAACATGACATTTCTTCATTACATGCTCTAGAACCATTTTCACTTTTGATCAATTTCCTACAAAGTTTCTTAACTAACTATTCATCTAAAATGTGATAGACATATTACTTGCAAAAGTCGGTGCTGCTCATTTCTTTTGCATGTACCATAAGAATATTTTAACAGATGTTACTTCTTTGATGATGGGAAACATATCTTTATTATCCATGCTGCATATGAAATATGTTAATTGTATGCTTACAGAACAAATTTACTTTTGTACATTGGGACCATATACTTTTAGTACATTCTTAGTAAAACTCAAGTCTCACTACATTATTTGGTCTTCCCCTTCATGGTTCCAAGTTTTATGTTTAGCAAGATGGAGGAAGTAGTACAAATCTCCTTGGTGTAGGATGAACATTTCTTCCCTTTTTACTTTCTTTTTCTCCCATAGCAGAAAACCTCTTAATCTCCATGCTCCAGACCATGGCCACTGTCTCCCTGTATTCATTAGGACATACGTTTGGTTTCTTCCCAACATCATAGTTTGAACAAGTGAGTAGTTCCTTCTTTCTCAGAAAAAGCCTGTGTAATATGACAATTCTACTCGTCTGCATTCCAGTCAAAGAGGAAGAGGGAACAGGGAACGGGTAAGAGCAGTAAAGGTGCTTGTCACACTCCCATTCTTTGAACACAACTTAATCACTGGCCACTTCTAACTACAGAGAGGCAAGGAAACATCATTTCAATGGGCAGCCACATAAATAGCTAAGAGACCAGAGTTCAGTTTCAAGTTAAGAAATGAAAGGATATAGGGGACAAGAGTAGCCATAGCTACCCTCCCTTGAGAAGGGAAGTAAACCACTACTCCACCATTTTCTCTGTCCCCACTTTCTACAATAAAAGGAGAGTAAGAAAGCCTGGCATCTTATCAGAATTCACAGTTAACTTACATTTTCATTAATGTAAAAATCTGACTACCTAGGTCCACTTGAAGATGTTCCTGTATGTATAACTGAGGCAACTGGGAAAAATTAAAATGAAACTTCAAAATGTGTTTTAAGTTGGAAATTCTGTAGTTGGAAACCAGACTTGAAATAAATATTCAATATCAGGACAATGCCCCTTAGAAAAGAAATTTCAATAGAAAGTCCTTATGATAAAAAAGCAAAGAAAAAAGCAACTAGAGGGGAAAAAAAACTTTAACAAATTTAGAGATATAAAGAATACAACTGAAAGAGAAAGAACTACCGTTTATTAAGTGTATATTATGTTTGGGGCATTTCTTAAGTGTTACTTTTGCTTTAGAGATAAACTGAAGATCAAAGGGTTTTGAAATTTTGCTGAGCTAGTAAATTATGGACTCCAGTTTAAACCTGGGTCTTCTAAGTCTTAGAGCCTACAAAAATCTTGTTTTTAAGTAGTTTAGCACTTGGGATGTATTTCTTGTTTACTTAATAAAAAGGGAGACCGCTGGGTTCTTAAACCGATTCACAAAAGTCTATTTGGTCTTTCATGTAAAAGAAATAGTAATGCTGTTTAGTGGAACAACTTCAACAAAGACTATAAGAGAGAATAAAAAAATGAAATAACTGGTGTCTTCAGATGTTGACCTTGTGGTATTGTTTCCTTTTAAAACATTTTTCTCTTTTTATTATTTTCTTTGCAGCAAAAATAAAAGCCTGGAGGGGGTAAACTTTAGACAACAGTCTGACCATATTTCATTGACAAGGCATTCCACAGAACAGCTGAGTGAGCCAGGAACCTGGGCCCTTTGTCATGGGCACAACTGAAGCCTTTGCATGCATTCTACAAGGGCCAGAACTTTCCCTCCCACTATTGGCCCCTACCTGAATTACTGCGGATAGGAGTGGACTCAATATGGGAAAGGATGCCAAAGGTATTCTTCAGAATGACACATTAGGTCCCAGGGAATGACTGCTGGTTCCAAAATGGCAGCATAGAAACAAGCTGTCTTCACTTCTCCCCACAATAAATTAAATAAAAAGATAGATAAAATAAATAAATAAAACAAGCTATCTTCACTCCTCCGCACAATAAATAAACAAACAGTGCTGGGAATATCACCAGCAATATCCAGAACTCAAACACAAGGAAGAGACAATTCCTGGGGCCACAGAGAGGTGAGAAAACCCTGAGCAGGTGGTAAGAGAATCAGCCCTCCATATCTACAATGCCCCTCACCCCAGTCTGCCCAGCACCAAGTCCACAGAAAATTTCCTCCCTACTCCCAAGATAAAGTTGACAACCAGCTCTCATACCATCTTGGGTCTGTCTCTGCCTCACCCACAGGAAACATCACAAGTGCCTGAAGGGAAAAATATTTCTGAAGTCAACCAGAAACAAAGTTGGAGG